AAAAAAAAAAAAAAAACAACCACAAAACAAAAGAAAGCACAAAGATATTCATCAGTGTTTCATATATTTTGAAAATTGAAAATATGATGAGGCAAATAATGACAGAACTACTCAAGGGGATGTTTTACAGCTACTTCAAATTCTATTTATAAAATGTACTACTGCAGAAAATGTTCACGCTATCATGGACTGTGTAAAAACACCACAGTTGACATTACACATGGAATCCATCTGCAATTAGGTAAAATTAAAAAAAAATCTAAACAAAAACTTGACTGAAACTTAAAAAACATCAGCAGTGTTTACCTTGAAATGGTTCGTCGCATGTGGTACTTTCTCATTCCTTTTCTTTTCTCTGTATCCAGACGGTCCTCTATAATGCAAAAAGGTTAAGATCTTACGAGTGTGCGCCCATATCCGCATCCGCGTCTTGTCTTCTGTCCCTGCCCAGGTCCTTCGGCGTGCTGCTGTGGGAAATCTTCTCTCTGGGGTACATGCCGTACCCCAGCAAGAGCAACCAGGAGGTTCTGGAGTTCGTCACCAGTGGAGGACGGATGGACCCACCTAAGAACTGCCCCGGACCTGTGTACGCCTCCTCTAGGAACATTCTTACTAGTCGCTCGGCACAGTTTCTCTTTTCAAAAAATACCTATAGCCACAGATGCCCCTGTATTCCAAGATGAAGGGGCAGAAGGCTGCCCCCACACAGGACTTCAGTGAGATGGGTTAGGTCTTCCAGCTGCAAAAGCAGTTCCTCCATCCTGAAAAGGCACCCACTGTCCGGCTGGAGGTTACAGATTCACCAGACCTACACTCCCCGAGCAGCCCTAGGGCATCCCTCACCTCCGTCCCACAAGCAAGGCAAATGGGAAATAGAATATTTCACCCCGGAAGTGCCTTTAATCCGGGAATGGAAGGAGGGGAGTCATTTAATGTAAACTCCAGGACGTCGTGTTAAGGAGCTTTGCATTAGAACACCTTAGGGGCACGATTCCCTTGTTTATCAGCAGGGGGCAGCATACACCAACTACGAGGAATTACCACCCTTGATCTGCGCCGCTCCTCCTAGTCCCTCCCACTTAGTACTGGGCAGCGGTACCCAGAGGAATGGATTCCGCCTCCTTGCGCCTGTCTTGACTTTGATCAGTGTGCTTATTCTTTTAGGTACCGGATAATGACTCAGTGCTGGCAACACCAGCCTGAAGACAGGCCCAATTTTGCCATCATTCTGGAGAGGATCGAGTACTGCACACAGGTATAAACGCTCTCCCCGTGACCACCAGCCTGTAAGCTCTATGGAAATGTCTTAAAAGATGGTGAATGCCAGCACAGGAAGTAAAGTTGCTAAGCCAGTCAGGGAATACGATTTATGCTGATGAGAATGAACACTCAGCTACCGACCTAAAATTCAGGAAACACTGGTACCGCCCGCCTTCTTCGGCAGCACACACTGCCTTGCAGTAGTCGTAGGGCGTCAGTTCACTTCACAAGTCCTCGCTAGAAGTATGAAACGGCCCCGCTCCCAAAGAATTTATAGCCCGACTAGAGAAATAACATGTAGAATAAATAATACACAATCGCTAAATTCTATGTCCAGCTTTATATATGTCAGAGTATGAAGGGAATGAAAATGCAAAGTAATCTGGAGAAAGTTCACCCTCATCAGAGGCACTTATGCAGATTTATGCCACGCCAGTCACTTCTCATGCATTCCTTTCTGTCTGCATCGAAGAGCAGAAATCATCCCGCTTCAGAGATGAGAGTTCTGGCTTGGAGAGGTTGTCTCAGGCACACAGTTGCCCAGCAGTCCCACAGTCCACGCACAGCCCTTTCCCGCTTCCTTCAGTGGTGACTGCAGTTTCATTTCTCCCCTCGTCTTCAGCAGACCACTATGCCTCCCTCGCCAAGCATACACACAGTGGAATACTACTGTGCCATAAAGAAGGACACGCTTGAGGCATCTGGAGGGAAATGGAGGCACCGTGAGACCATAACGTTAAATGACATAAATCAGGCCCACGAGCTTCAACATTGCTTCTCTTATATGAAAAACCCCAAGTATAGATAATTTAAAGAGCTAAAGAAAAGACAGGCAATAGGAAATAGGGAGAGGGATCTTTCATAAATGGAAGGGAATCTAGAGAGGCAGGGAGTGGGGGTAAAGGGCAAGGAAGAAAAGAAGACCTGGCTGTGTTATGTGCATGTGCTCACCGGCCAGGGAATGCGGTCGACGTGTACTTTGAAGGTGCACGCACACGGATGTCCCGATGGAAAGACACGGGGCCTATGGACTGGGCCTGTCAGGCTCCTCCCTACCTGGCGCAGACTCGCAGGCTCCCAGCACTTCCCACAGCCCCTTCTTCGCCCAGGGGTCCCCAGCCGCCCTTCGGGCTTTGTCGTCAGCTTCTCTGCTCTTTCCCGGGTCTGCTCTCCTCCCCTCTCTCCTGGCCCGCCTGTAGGATGACTACTTCTGAGGCTATCTGGGAAGGGTGCAACGATGACCCCACCACCACCACCTCTCCGGAAGCCCTCGGGGACAGAGCGGGACACCTTCCCGGAACTGTCGTCATTTCCGGTCCTCCCTGTCCACACCGCAGGGCAGGTGAAGGGGCGTCTCCCCGCCGAGTCCCCCAGATGCTTCCAAAGAGGCTCATGTGATGGCGTTTAGGTTGTGATGTCACAGTATAAGTGGAATGCATCCACCTGTATACATCTTTGGGGACTTTTTCTCCAGAGTGTATAACAGCCTTCTCAAAATCGGGCACTTTGACACATGGATATTTTAAATGAGTCACTGTCGAAAGTAATAGTAAACAGGGAGGGAATTAAAGGATTAGAAAGAGTCAGAAGAGAGGTTTTTTGTTTTGTTTTGTTTTTTGTTCTTGAACTCTTTTATGAATTTGGGTTAATGTGTTCTGTTAAACTCAAGTAGTGGGGGTTCTTTCTCAATCGGGATGAAACATCAATGAATTCAATTTCCCCAGAGTTAAGTTTTCTGCCACAAATTTTTCTTAAACCTCTGGCAACTGCTTCTGCTTTTCTCTGTGTTATAAGCTATTACCTTAAACGCTACCTAGCACAGTTGTTTTGGTAAATGGTTTTCCTTGTAGCAGGAGGATTTGCTGGGCGCTACCAAGGGCTCATGGGATCCAGAGAGCTCAGGAAGAACTAGTGATCCTCACGCCTGACCCAGCCCTGCTCCGGATAAGGCGGGCAGGCGGGAAGGGAGGACAGGACCAGCCTGGGAGCCACTCCTTCCTTCCCTGCAGCACACACAAGCGCGCACACACTCACGCGAAATCATCCACGTAGACTTTTTAAATCATTGGGATGTGGGAGGATTTTATTGGGAATAGCCGAATGGTTGTTTAAAGATTTCTACAGTAAGCAGCTCACGTATGAAATTCGGTCAGATCCGCACCTCCTGTTCAAACCTGCCCGTGCCTGGCCCAGGCAGCACCCGCTCACCCCCATCACAGCTTTTCTTTCCCTCCAAGGCCTTCAAGGAAAACGATGAGGCCGGGCTTGTTTCTGTCCCGCGGGGCCGTGGGTTAGCACATTCACGGTACGCGGCCTGAAGCAGGTTGAGGTCCTGCTGCAGACCACGGACGCGCCCTGCCCGCGCCCGGCTTCTCCGGGGTTCTCCTGGGTCCCTCTGTCTGTCCTCCCGCAGGATCCGGATGTCATCAACACGGCTCTGCCGGTGGAGTACGGCCCGCCCGTGGAGGAGGAGGAGAAAGTGCCCATGCGGCCCAAAGACCCCGAGGGGATGCCGCCCCTGCTGGTGTCCCCGCAGCCCTCCAAGGGGCAGGAGGAGCGCGTCCCAGCC